AAAGCCTCTGGAGTCTGGGGAAGGCAAAAAAGCATGTAAAAAAATGGGGGGGGGGGTCTGTAGTGCACACGTGCGTACTGGGGGGGAGCGCGCATTGCATTATGCATGTGGCACGCCCACAAACAACCCTTCTGTGCTCCCCCCACTTATGGCAAGCCAAAAAAGGGTCACCATCACTGTACTTTGACAAGGCTGGGACGCTGCAGCTCAGTGGCTGAGATGCTAAGCTTGTCAATCAGAAAGGTGGCCGGTTTGAATCTCTGGTGCTGCAGAACGGGGTGCGCTCCCATTACTTATCCGAGCAGTTTGAAAGCACATAAAAATGCAAGTAGAAAAATAGGGACCACCCTTGGTGGGAAGGTAACAGCGTTCCGTGTGCCTTCGGTGTTTAGTCATGCCGGCCACATGACCACGGAGACGTCTTCGGACAGCACTGGCTCTTCGGCTTTGAAACGGAGATGAGCACCGCCCCCTAGAGTCCGGAATGACTAGCACATATGTGCGAGGGAAACTTTACCTTTTAAGTTGAGGATTACCTGTACAGTAGCTTAGTGAAGAAACAGGAGAGCATCTCTCAACATTAAGAGTAGTTCATTAAATATATATATTTATCTATCTATGTATTTATATGCTGCTTATTTATTTTAGTTCTTTAACATAGGATATAAAAGCCAGTGGTTAGAAAGCAGTACTTCATGAACTCAATGCTCAGTGTCAGGAGTTTGATTCTCACCACCTCAAGGTTGACTCAGCCTTCCAAGGTTGGTGAAATGAGCACCCAAATTGTTGGGGGCAATATGTTGACTCTGTAAACTGCTTAGAGAGGCTGTAAGCCACTGTGGAGCAGTATATAAGTCTAGGTGCTATTGCTTGACTCCCAACAACTCCCAGGAAGCAAAGATCTGATCCTATGTTTCCTAAATCCCCAATAGTTTAGGAACACCCTGATTGATCTACAGCATCCGTTCAGTGTAAGAGTCCTTACAGTTTTCAGAAGATTCAGAGATACATTCTGTCTCTCCATCACATTTTCAGCATCAGAAAAAGGAGGAACTCCTGGTGGGTGGGGGGCATCTTGCTGAAACACACTCAGATATCTTCTGCTTTTACATTTTGCCCTTGTACCCCTTCTAGGGAATCGCCACGGGGAAGTACCATGCGGCTGTCCTCACCAATAACGAAGAGTGGGAACAGGCCTGTATCAAAGCAGGCAGAAACTGTGGTGATCTTGTTCATCCCCTCGTCTATTGCCCAGAGCTCCATTTTAGTGAATTTACCTCAGCTGTAGCTGACATGAAGAACTCAGTGGCAGTAGGTTTGCTTGATTTATAATGATTTATAATTTATTAATTTATAATCCTTGCCTCATGTCAGCTGCCAGGCTGTTTTGTGCTCTCTGTTTTTTTTTACAGCGTGGTTTTTTTTTTCAGGTGGTTAGCTTTGCAAATGACTGTTAATCCATCTGTTAGTGTGGGCTAACAGCTCCTCAAAATCAGATTATTTTATGTATAAGGTCAACCAGGAAAAAGGCAGGGAAGTGAGAGATTTGAAAATCTCTTTCTCTTGAAAAAAGTTTCCAGATCTCCAACTCCACTACCTGAAGGATTTTGAAAGGAAACAGACACTGAAAATGGGATTCTTCTGTGCACCTGCGCTAGAAACCATAGCAAACTCTCGCATTTTGCAGAGATGGCAAAATGATGTCATCATCCTGCAAATGCTGATATTGCACAATCCTGTTCTTTAATCCCAGTGAGCAGTGAGTGTTAGGTAAGCTCCCCGTTGGGAGAGCGAATATGTTCAGAGAAGCGTTGTGAGAGTTGTGTTGGAGAACACACAAACCAGCATGCAGAGACACTGCAGTTTAAATAGGCTTTTACTTTCGTGGAGATAGAGGTATCAGAGTCCATCAAACAGTCCAAGTCATACACGGATAAGACAGTCAGTCATCACTGCATTTGCCTGGTAACATCGCCCAGTAAATGAGTATCATGTATTCATCTCTGCAGA